TGAGAGAAGGGCAGTGGCTGGGGCTTTGTCCTTCCCCCTCTCCCATCGCAGGACAGCTCCAGCAGCCTGCTTCTGCCTTGCACAGCAGAATATCCCAACGGGCCCATGCGGCGGGTGGGCCCATTGCTAGAGCGCTGGCTTACAAGGGCTTGTTCAAACGAGAGGCCATAGAGGGCTCAGCCTACCTGGGACAGGCTACGCCTGGGGGCAGGACCTAAGAGGACCGAGGCTCCTGGAAAAGGAACAGTCCCCGGGCCACACAAAGAGAAAGCTCCCAAGGGGAGGGCGTCTCAAGGCGGCTCCCCAGGAAAAGGCCCCAAGGAAGAATGCTGCTGGGGGAGACAGAGGGCTCCGAACAGGGGACGCTATGAATAGCGAGTCTCAGGGGAGCCTGCCCCCCGGAAGGCCTTCACCGGGTGGCAGAGCACCGGAATCACGGGCTGTCTGGAAGGTCGTTGCACTTTAACCTCTGTAGGGACCGTGAGCCAAGAGGAGAGACCCCTCCCCTGCTGATGACAAGAGGGGCCTGCTGGTAAGGGACCTGGACTAAGGTTTAACTCAGCCCCCCACCCCTTCCAGCTGGAGCTGCTAGGGGGATGCCTATTTGTTCAATGCTCCACCTGGGGGTTAAACAAAGCAGAGCCCCCAAGGGGCACCGTTCAATCTAAATAAGCCTCATTGGACTTATTGTGGCCCACTAGGGGAAACTGAGGCAGGGATGCAAAGGTGGCGGTGTAGTGGGTCACTCCAGGACTGAGGGTCCCCCGTACAGGTTCCCACAGCTGCAGACCCTGCAGCAGCTACCACTGCTACCTCACGAACGGTATTTTTATTTACAGAAGTGCTTGAGGTTAAGACAGCTGTAGCAACTTCCTCTTTCAGTGCATTCCCTGCCTGCGCTCCCTCTCCTGGCAGGTCTTTGGATCACACTGCAGAGAGCAGCATGGGTGTAGCGCATTCAAAGCGCCAGGGAAGGGATTAGACAGATGACCTCACAGTACTTGGGGCCCTTTTCCACCTTGGGTCTGAGCGGTGTCCTTCTCCCAGCATGCTCCGCGGCCATTTGACCGTACGGGGGGAGCCAAGACAGGGAAGCAAGCGTGAGCAGCCGCAATGGGAAGGAAAGGCCTGCGGCACGCTTAGTCACACCCCCAGGGACTTGCCCAAGGAGGGAGGCCCCAGCAGCGCTGGGACTGGAACTCAGAACCAAGCAGGGGTGAAAGTACGGCGTTACGGGGCAGTACGGCGTACCGGTAAAAAGTGGCCGCCGGTACCGATCTGTACAGCTGACTTTAAAGTGCTGCCGCAGGAGCGGCTGGAGCCCCGGGCAGTGCGGGCCAGGCAGCCCGGATGGGCTAGCTGGGGGATGCTGACCCCCAGCCCTGCCCCCTTCCGCCCAAGGCCCCGCCCCTTCTGGGGGAGGGGCACAGAGGCAGCCCCTGTACCGGTAAGAGTTCAATTTTACTTTCACCCCTGGAACCAAGTCCCTATTTCCACACCTGCACTCCGTCCATGCCGCTTCCTTGAGGCCCAGCAGCCGGGACCCCAGCAAGGTGAGCAATCGCTCCTTTTCACCGAGCGGCCGCACCAAAGAACAAATCCCATCTCGTTAATATCGGTACTTGCCCGTGTAAGGAAACTCTCCCGGCTACATGAGCAGGGGGAGACCTGTGACCACACACACGTCTGAAATGCATCCAGCGCTGGGAGGAAGAAAGCCGCCCTTCTGGGTCAGTTACAGTAGAACAGGAAGCGGTCAGAGTGGTGATAGGGAAAGACTGTTTGGGCGAGCAGGTAGAGAACAAGGGCATTAGCCCATGGTGTGCTACGACAGCAGCAGTGGACGATGTCACGGTGTGTTCCTTGCGGAGCACCACACTAGGGGAGCCGAGAACACCCACTGACCGAGCCGTTCGGGGCTGCAGCTCTGCTCTTGGGAGCATTAAACCTGTATCCGAGTACCGCAGGACGTTGGAGCTCCCTGCTGAGCCAGTGCAGGAAGTCAAGTATCAGAGGGGTAGCCGTGTTAGTCTGAATCTGTGAAAAGCAACAGAGGGTCCTGTGGCACCTTTAAGACTAACAGAAGTATTGGGAGCATAAGCTTTCGTGGGTAAGAACCTCACTTCTTCAGATGCAAGTCAAGTGCAGGAAGGTAACTTCCCAGCAGGTGGGCGAGGTGTATCAGATCAGCGGGTGGAGTCCACACAGTAAAGCATCCCTCAGCCCTCCACAGCAGAGCAGAACCAGAGGAAATACTGGTAAGACGAACAAGCTCTTGGTGTATTCCCCTCATCAGAGCGCCGACTCCTGGGGCCAGTACAGCCTCTGCGTCAAGGCACCAGGGTGCACAGTGGGAGTGGGCCCCCGGCACAGTAGCATCGTCTGGTAAGACTTTGGGGCACTGGTTTTCACAGCTCCCCCTGGGGTCGTGGCTGGTCAGCTATTGGACCCCTCTCTCCAGAACAGCTACCCGGGAGCGTTCGCTGATGGCAGCGGGAAAAGCCTCCTGGCCTTGGTGTAGTTCCGTGGATACTGACTAAGGAAACCAAGAGGCTGCTGCTGCTAACCCACGATCAGCTTTGTTTATTGAGGTTTGTACTTGGGGGGGGGGGGTGGGTTGTGTGTGTGTGTGTGTGTGTGTGTGTGTGTGTGTGTGTGTGTGTGTGTGTGTGTGTGTGTGTGTGTGTGTGTGTGTGTGTGTGTGTGTGTGTGTGTGTGTGTGTGTGTGTGTAGT